ATAAGAAACTCGACATTTAAGGAACTCCGCTTATAAGAAATTTCGCTTATATAAGAAACTAGTCTTTTAAGGAACTTCATTTATAAGAAACTCCGTTTATAAGGAACTTTACTTCTGCAAAACGCCGCTTATAGGAAATTGCACTTATAAGAAATTATACTTATAAGACATTCCGCGCATAAGGAATTTCACCTAAAAAGAATTTAGTTTATGAAACTCCGCGTAATGGAAATGACCGCTGATGTAACAGAACCGGCGTAGTCACTCAATAAAAGAATAGCAACCTAGCAAAATTAATCTAAATACTGAGAGAGGGAATACGCGTGAATGGTTACATATATATGGTTACATTGTAACTATTGTTCTTCTTTATGTATGGAAATTCATGTATCTGTAACAGTTCGTATGCTCTCAAATGTTTTACTATAGTTATTGTGAAACAAAAATTTTTTCTCAAAATACATACAGGTTACGCAAGCTTGTAACCAGTTAAAGATATTAAAGCAGAAATCGATAGTTATTAATTAAACAATTTTACTAGAGGAGAAAAATTTCATATTTTTGGTAAAGCAATAATGAAAGACAACCTATTCAAGGGAGTTTTAAACCAAAAATGTATCTTCAATTAGTGCGTTAGAACGCACCTGAGAGGTCGTCAGCTTTACTGTCAGCCTTGGATGAGAGGTCAACCTCATCCAGCGCTCTCTCTACCTCCTCACGCAGTCGTGCCTCTGGCAGCCCCTAACACCAGTACAAATAGGTATTACTGCTGAACTTTAAATTGAACGGAATAATTTTAACGTAAAACAGTGCCACGAGCGCAATGTGAACATGACCCTGTTAAGATCAGTACATTGTGTGAGTGGTTACTGGTATGATTATAAACATTATACAGGATATAAGCCAAGGCATTTGACAGTGTTCCACATGAGCGGTTGTTGCGTAAATTGAAGTCTTTGGGAATTGAGAGTAATGTACTCAAATGGATCAGACATTTTCTAGTAGGGAGGCGACAACGTGTCAGTATTAATGGGTCCGTATCAGACTGGGCTTCAGTGCGCAGCGGCGTGCCACAAGGAAGCGTTCTCGGGCCTATTCTTATTCGTTGCGTTTATAAACGATCTGCCAGAAGCTGTGTCTAGCGTTTGCTCGAGGTATGCTGACGACACAAAAGTTTATAATATGGTGAAGAATACGTCGCAAAAAGTACAGTTGCAAGGTGATCTTGACAGGCTGGTTGACTGGGCTGATAAGTGGCAGCTGCGTTTTAACGCTGACAAATGTAAAGTTATATACCTTGGCAAGAATAATGAACAGCAAGATTACAGTATGAGAAGACACGGTTGCAACGACAGAGTGATGATGTCGAAGTCGACAACGGAAAAGGATTTAGGAGTTAATATCGACAATGAGTTGAAATTATCTAAGCATATTGAAAGTCAAGTTAATAAAGCCAATAAACGACTTGGACTGATCAGACGCTCTTTCGAGTTCCTAGATTTAGAAACGATGAAGCAGTTGTTTGTTGCTGTCGTGCGCCCGAACCTGGAGTTTGGAAACGTAGTGTGGTCACCGAAATTTGAAAAGGACAAAAATTTAGTAGAGAGTGTTCAAAGACGCGCAACAAGGATAGTTCCGGGCTTGAAAGGCAAGTCCTATGAGGAAAGATTAAAGATTATGAAGCTTCCAAGCCTCCATTATCGACGTCTGCGTGGGGACCTCATTGAAGTATACAAATATACTCATGGCTTATACAAGGTCCCAGAAGGATTACTAGAATTTGAAACAAGAACCAACACCAGGGGCCACGGCTATAAACTAAAAAAACAGCGTTGGAACGCATCCATGCGACAACATTTCTTCTCGCTTCGAGTCACCGACATGTGGAACAGCCTCCCTGATATCATCGTTGACGCTCCGAGTATGAACATCTTCAAGAACACTCTAGACGAAGCTATGCAGGAGCATATGTTCAGTCTTAAAATGCCTAGCAAATTACGGAGCAGGCAATAAGTCCAGCAGCTATCTCAATAAATCGTCAGTTATGGAAAGATCGGGTTCCAAAGGCCGGATCCCTTGTGAATCAAGTCACGAAAAGTTCAAGAATCGGCAACAGGCCATGGGCCTATTTCTTCAACGCCGACACTTCTATTCTATTCTATAAGTGGCAACCTTTCTAAGAGGTTGCCAACTAGGCGGTAGTATATAATGTGCAGTGGCTCGTGAAGGCCTATCAGTCTTACGCCGGGAAAGCAGGCGTAGGGGTTGATGTTGCCGCTTATGAGACTTAACGTAAATTGAAAGGAGCAAACGTTGCCGGGCCAAACTAAGTCAGGAAGACCCGCGCAAGGGTAAAAAGTGCATCGCATTTGTACAAAATCTTACTCATTTCCAAGCGAAAACAGTCAACAAGTGAAAAAGAATTTCAATAAAGACATACCGGCAGCTTGGAGTAATTTAGGAATGGAAGAATAATTATGCTACAGTCAAATTATTGAAGCATACTCGTTCTTAACTGCGATTTATCTTAAAAATGACAAAATTAAAATCACAAAGGCAGGGTAATGGCGGCATACTTTTATGTTTTCAAATAATTTTGTAACTTATTCTATGACAAATTCAGTAAATGGAATCATGAAGAGAACACACGCACTCACCCTGATCCTGGCGTAGAACATGAGGTGTTCCCTCGGCGTGAGAACAGTGAAGAGGATGTCATGCTGGGGGCACACTCCAGTCATGCTGCGTATCTCGCGTAGGTCGTGGGGGTCTCTGTGACGACAGAGACTAGCATCATGCAGAGACAGGGAGTCTCGCATCATGCAGAGACAGGGGGTCTAGCATCATGCAGAGACAGGGGGTCTAGCATCATGCAGAGACAGGGGGTCTCGCATCATGCAGAGACAGGGGGTCTAGCATCATGCAGAGACAGGTACTCTAGCATCATGGTATGTCTTGCGTTAATACTAGCAGTGACAGCAGGGAATTCTAGATTCTAAAAACTTGTACAAAATTTACCATTCATAAGACATGTCTTTTCTAAACGCACGCTACTATAACAACATAGCCTCCACAAAACTCATCCTTATTTAAACTTACCAACCTTCCTTGAACTCACCTATCCTAACACGTAATCTTCCTTCCTATCCTAACACGTACTAACGCACATTGCCTAAAAACACGTCCTAAAAGGCATCATTCCGAAAAAAAAACTCTTTCTCAAACGCACGGTTCAAATACGTCACCCTTACTGAAACTAACTCTTCTCAACACCCCTTCCTACAACACGAGATTCCTACAATGCACCCTTGGTAAAACGTTTATTTCCTACACATATAATCTTCCTACAGCTTACAATTCCTCATCGTCCCAATTATGAAATGCATATCCTTCCTCAGGCCTATTCTTCCCGAAATTCACCCGTCCTAAAATACATCTCCTACCCTACCATAAATAAGCCGTATCCTTCATATAACACAGTTTCTTCTATATCGTACTTGAAACGTTCCATTCATAAAACAAATTGTTTTTCTACGCTACTCTACCTGAAACTTATCCATCATAAAACTATTTTTCATCCTACCACACCTGAAACGTCCCTTTTCTACCATTCCCTTACAGCACACCTTTTCTATAAACTTTCCTGTAAGTAAAACGTCCCTTTTCTACCACGTCCTTTAAGCGCACCTTTTCTATAGCCTTTCATCCTTCTCGAGGTAGAAATGAGGTAGAAAACGTCATTTTTCTACCTTATCCTACCTGGAACGCACTCCTGAAACTCACCCGACGCTGAGACCGAAGACGTGTGCTGCACCAGACGTCACTTCCGTCATGCCCGTGAGGACGTTAAACAACGTCGTTTTGCCGGCGCCGTTATGGCCGAGGATGGCCGTGATCTCGTCCTCGTAGATGGTCAGGCTGAAGTCTGGTGGACACGCAGTGGTCATGTGTAGAGAAGCATATAAACACGGAGACTATAGTGGCGGCCAGTAAACTTGTACACGGAGACTATAGTGGCGGCCAGTAAACTTGTACAAGGAGACTATAGTGGCGGCCAGTAAACTTGTACACGGAGACAGTAGTGGCGGTCAGTATAACATTAAAATAGTTACTGACATTACTTGTTATGCTATTGGCCTCTTGTAAAGTGTCACTTATTCTTTTTCCCTTGGCCAGTGGAAAACTTTTTTAAATGCAAATCGTCACTACTAGTTATGCTATTGACCTCGTGTATAGAACTACTGGCAACGCAAGGAGACAGTATACCCTCTGCACTAGGCCAGTGGCATGATAATTAGTGGCAGTTAGTATTTGTCCACGAATACAAGCAATACACGAATATGTTCTTATATATGGCTTTATATGTTCTTATTGTTGAAATATTCAAAACATTACGGTATGGTAGCATTTTTGAGTAATTCGGAGAGAAAACGTCGTTAAATGATGAATACTTTCAGTTTTGTTACTAATTTTGTGGCGAATATCTTCTAGAAAACAACTGGCGACAAAGTTACTACAATACGCACCAGAGGGCGGCTTGTAAGTTTGGACTTAATCGGATATGAAAGGAACCTGACAAGTAAATAAACATCAAACATATAAACTTCAACCGTGGTTTGATCCACAAAAAAATGTAAACATACAAAATATTATAAACACATTCACAATAAACAAATAAAGTAGGGCAACTATACTCACTGTCAACAGCTTTAATAGGAGGCTTGCCGCGTCCCCCCTTGAAGGTTTTGCATACCCCCCGGATGATGACCCCAGCCTTGCCCCTCATCTCCGGCCCCACCTCCTCCACATCCCCACTGCTCCCCACACTCCCCGCACTCATGCGCCGTTCTGAAGACATCAGGTTGTCGTCGTCCAGCTGGTCCTGGGCGTACAGCTCGTTCTGCACACGGAGTCCCCAGTTAAAATTCGTAGCGGGTGTCTGCGCCGATTGAAGCATGAGAGCCGGTTTGGAGCAGGTTCAGAGCATGTTTATGGCAGGTTCAGAGCATGTTTATGGCAGGTTTAGAGCATGTTTATGGCAGGTTTAGAGCATGTTTGTGGCAGGTTTAGAGCATGTTTGTGGCAGGTTTAGAGCATGTTTGTGGCAGGTTTAGAGCATGTTTGTGGCAGGTTTATAGCATGTTTATGGCAGGATTATAGAATGTTTATGGCCGGTTTAGAGCATGTTTATGGCAGGTTTTGAGCATGTTTACGGCAGGTTGAAAGCAGGTTTAGAGCATGTTTATGGCAGGTTTATAGCACGTTTATGGCAGATTTAGAGCATGTTTACGGCAGGTTTTAGAGTATGTTTACGGCAGGTTTAGAACATGTTTACGGCAGGTTTAGAGCATGTTTACGGAAGGTTTAGAGCATTTTATGGCAGGTTGAGAGCAAGTTTACGGCAGGTTTAGCGCAGAATCGTCATGCCGACCGCATAGCAGCGAGTTTTGAAAGTATGGCCCCGGATCTGCTTCAGAGTTGCTCGTGCAACGCAAGCACCTCTATATCGATGTTGCTTGCGTATATTGAATTAAAGCGGATACATAAGAAGTATAAACTGACCCGAAAAAGAAAGTATCAGCAGAGCATGTATGAATTAATTAGCGTTACAATGCAGTTATTTCCACTAGATTGTGTTATTTATTGCAGGTATCGCGAGTATTCATACAGACTAAGAAGAAAAGATAATAAGAGTGATGAATCGATAACATAAGTTAAATAACAATCCAATAAGTAGATGAATAATAATATAGTAAATACTACCGTTATAAATTCATTGTGTTGTAATTTACAAAGTTCTTACTTATAAGTCTGATGTAAGTCAATCAGACCGCTCGCATGGCGAGAATAAATTTTTAACAAATAAATCCTGATGATTTTAAGCCCATATTTCGTCTGAATGTATTCACGGTAAATAATGTTACGCTCATGCTCAACGATAGGCAGTGTTAACACTGAATACGTCTTAGCAGGACGCAAGAATTATGCGTCTGCGGCTGTACGGTCAGATGTCGCTTAAGTACATGTAGAGGTCTAAGTACACGTAGCGGCCTAAGTACACGCAGCGGCCTAAGTACACGCAGCGGCCTAAGTACACGCAGCGGCCTAAGTACACGCAGCGGCCTAAGCACACGTAGCGACCAATTCCAAGTCTTGTATTTATGAGTTTAGCTCGTAAGTTGTCAGTGCTAGGCTGACAGTACGGAGCCGTACTATTACTGACAGTATGGAACCGTACATTTTTTATAGTACAGAGCCGTACTATTTTTCATAGCACACAGCCGTACTATTTTTTACAGTACAGAGCCGTATTATTACTGATAGTACAGATCCGTAATATATTTACAGTACAGATCCGCACTATTACAGACAGTACGGCCCCTGGTCATCACTCACGGTTGAGGTACGGTTGGGGCGTCGCCAGAAGGACGGCTGTAGGAAGAACCAGGGCTTGAGCCTCGTGCCGTACTCCGCTGCAGACGAGTCAAGGATTTGTTGAATTAATATATTAATATTAATTATTAATATATTGAACGAATATATTAATTCAACCATGAGTGAAGGATTTGCATGAAATATTGGATTTATGTTAGGATAAAAATGTGAATCAAATTCATACATCGAATCATATGTATGATTTGTGTAAGTGAATGAGATTCACCAATATTAAACGTAATGATATTTAACCGTTTTAATATATTTAAATATGTAATATAAACTTCAACTATGTGCAGTGCCAGCACAAGGTACAGCACAACACACTTGGCACAACAGCGTCCAGGTACAGTGCCAGCACAAGGTACAGCACAACACACTTGGCACAACAGCGTCCAGGTACAGTGCCAGCACAAGGTACAGCACGATGTCCAGGCTGATCATGATGAGACTGCCAGCAAACGGGAGGCCTGGACCCGTCCAGAGCGTGCTGGACGACAGGCCTCCAGCCGTCACGTCCAGCACCAGGATCTGTGCATTGAATTCTTTGTTTAATGAATTATTATCTAATTTAATCCGTTTAATTAACGATAATTAAAAATTTATGGGTTTTATTATCGAATACGCGCTCTTGTTGGGCTAAAATTGGTCAGATTGCATCTCAAAAGTGCAATAGAATTTGGACAAAAACTCACTCATTTCTCTGGGAGAAAAGTGGATGAAAAATATTGCTTAGAGTTTTATATAATTATTAGTAAGCATCAAAATATTCAAATCAGCTGATTCTCACTATATATAATGTATTAATTTATTATCATTGTTCCAATATTATTAATAATCTATTATCTCGTTATTATTATTGTTTCTATATTATTAATAATCTATTATCTCGGTAATTTTCCTGAATGTTGTCACCTTGTCTATGGCGAAAGAGAAGGCACATGGCGACATTAGTGCCAGTAGCCAGTAGTAGACGGGGTCTATCTGGTCGCCCAGGTAGACTTGCAGGTAGAAGAGTAGAGACATGAACACCTGTGTCAGGTTACCGACCACCCCAGCTACCTGCACACAGTGGTAGGGTGGGTGGTTGTAGTTTACAGCGAGACATTGTTACAGTTTATAGCAAGATATTTGTTACAGTTTACAGCGAGGCATTAGTTACGGTTTACAGCAGGACATTGTCTCGTTGTAACATTTGTTACAGTTTACAGCAAAAAAATTTTCTCGCTATAACAATTGTTACAGTATACAACTAAAAAATGTCTTCTTGTTACATTTGCTACAGTTTACAGCATGAAATGAAAACTGTAAGGAATGTTCCATCACTCGCCTATAACATTGGTCGGTGAATGTGACATTACGTGAAATGAAATGAGACATTACGTGGAATGTGACATTATGTGAAATGTGACATTACGTGAAATGTGACATTACGTGAAATGTGACATTACGTGATATGTGACATTATGTGTATTATATACGTGTAATGTGTATATAATACGTCAATGTTTATCGGTATTGAGCTTTTGAGGTATTGTTTTTAATTACGGAAAAGGAAAACCTAGATTCTCGGTGAACGTTTAGCATATATAGATTAATACATTAGCAATTAACAATATTATAATAATGGTTAAAAGATCAAGCGCTAACTTTCAATTAATATAAACCCAACTGCTGCAGAAGCAAGTTCGTGATTTATAAGGTTCTGTACGTTTTGCTTTCCAAGGATGATTATTATTAGGTCTAAAAGAAGAAAAATTAATTGATTGGCGCGTGAAAACTTAGGTAATTTTGTTTTAAAAGGATTATTATTATTGAGTCAAAAAGAAGAAAATTTAATTGATTGGCCCGTGAGAACTTAGTTTATTGAAATTAGACAGACCTTAGCCTTGCTGAAGAAAGGCGTCATCATGAGGGCGAGGATGATGGAGGATAGCCCGTAGAGGATGAAGAGCAGGAAGCAGTAGCCAGGACTAGCGTACAGGAAGATGTTGGCCAGAGGGAGTATAATGGTGCACAGGAGCGCTAGTACAACTACGTACAACCCGTACACCGTCAGCCATGACAGCCTGTAGAGGGATAAGGAATATTAGTAGACCACCTCGCTGCAGACTAAAGATATGTCAGTAGATCTCTCTCTGCAGACCAAGAACATATCTGTAGGCCCGCCAGTCACTTGTAAATCACGCTCTGTAGAGTCCAGCACTCACCAGTAGACCACGCCCAGTAGACCCAGCACTCACCAGTAGACCACGCCCTGTAGACCCAGCACTCACCAGTAGACCACACCCTGTAGACCCAGCACTCACCAGTAGACCACGCCCTGTAGACCCATCATCTTCATGCCCTCTTTAATCTTCTTCTCTTTCTCCTCCACTATAAGCATCAACATGTACACGATGAACTGTGCCCATGAGAAGACCATGTACAGCGGTACTATGTCGCGTAGCACTTCTAGGTTACTAGACACGACTGCATCTAGGGGGAAACTCTGGTAGCTTATGTTCGGTAGACTGGTGTTAAATAAATTGTAGTTAGGTAGACTGATGCATGGTAGATTGTCCAGCTCTGTTGGGTGTGGTCCAGTAGCACTCAACGGTCCTGAATGCTGTGGGGTCCAGGTTGTGGTCCGTTGTGGTGCCACGTTAAAATCATCGACAAGAGTTTCATCCTGTACAAAGTGAGAGAAGTTAATTTAAATGAAGTTAATTGCACCGACAATTGTTGTCTTATAAATTAAGAAGATATGAACAAATAAAATCATCTCCATTTACTCAGGTACAGCGAAATCCAGAAAACCCCAAAGTTCGAACTTGTTTCAATTAGTTAAGTGGGTCAAACTTCAAAAGAGGGGTCAACTATCCTGAAAATACCAACTTTAAACAAGTGTCCCAAAGGATTATTATTTTCATGGTGATGATAGTAATTATGTTAGTGGAGACAATACAAGAAGGTTATATTTAAGCACAGCGTGGAGCTCGAACAGCAATCACCTCACATTTCAGAAAATAAAGCGCTACTGATGGTACATGCTTGGCAGATGCATTAGAGTTATATTATTAAATCTGAACTATAATAACCTCAGGTACAATTAAATTTCCATAAACTAGAACATTCCTCAACAAAAAAAAAAGCATAAAGTTATCCCGGAGACCGGTCAAATAAATTAATATGTTTGAAACGTGATATTATTTGTAGTCCACATTCAACATTGAGTTTTCTCAGGACCTAAGTAACATGAGCTACAAATGTCCAATGGCCAATGAAGATGGCCCAGTCAATGAGGCACTGGAGGCCCACAACAGCATGACTCACTCTCAAGATGGCCCAGTCAATGAGGCCCTGGAGGCCCAAGACAACAGGACTCACTCTCAAGATGGCCCAGTCAATGAGGCCCTGGAGGCACAAAACAACAGGACTCACTCTCAAGATGGCCCAGTCAACGAGACCATGGAGGCCCACAACAGCGTGACTCACTCTCAAGATGGCCCAGTCAATGAGGCCCTGGAGGCCCACAACAGCATGACTCACTCTCAAGATGGCCCAGTCAACGAGGCCCTGGAGGCCCAGGAGGCCCGAGTAGTAGTAGTAAGTAGGGGGGCACGTTATGGGGCTCTCAAGGCTGCCGTTCACAGTCTGCCGGCACATCGTCGGCGACACCCAACTGGGGGCATGGGGAGGAGTAGGAGTAGGAAGAGGAGGAGGAAGAGGAGGAGGGGTAAGAGTAGAAGGCACTCACAGGTTGGTGGGGTCGGGCACTCACAGGTTGGAGGGGTCGGGCACTCACAGGTTGGAGGGGTCGGGCACTCACAGGTTGGTGGGGTCGGGCACTCACAGGTTGGAGGGGTCGGGCACTCACAGGTTGGAGGGGTCGGGCACTCACAGGTTGGAGGGGTCGGGCACTCACAGGTTGGAGGGGTCGGGCACTCACAGGTTGGAGGGGTCGGGCACTCACAGGTTGGAGGGGTCGGGCACTCACAGGTTGGAGGGGTCGGGCAGGGGTCGCAGGACAGGGTTCATGCGTATGGTGTAGTTGCGGTCCCTCAGGGGCTCCTCAGAGAAGACCAGGGCGACCTCCACCGAGGGGGAGTGGTTCCTGGGGAGGGGAGGGGGGAGTGTTGCCATACAGCACGTCATATCAAAGAGTGTTGCCATACAACGCGCGGCCATAAGGAGTGATGCCACACAGCATGTCGGCTTAACGAGTGTTGCCATAAAGCGAGTCTTGCTCTGCGCGAGGAAGATTCTGATATCTCAATAGTAGCGATTCTAATGATTTTTGGCAGATTCCAGTAACATCGAGTGATTGTGAATATTCAACAGTAATTCAGATGAATTTCTCCTATTTATTCATTACTCCGATGGATAACTGTATGCAGCGATAACTGCATGGATAACTGCAAGCGTTATGTCTGAACCTGCCTTGCCTAGTTCAGACTTGACCTGCCTTGCCTAGCTCTGACCTGACCTGCCTTGCCTAGCTCTGACCTGACCTGCCTTGCCTAGTTCAGACCTGACCTGCCTTGCCTAGTTCAGACCTGACCTGCCTTGCCTAGTTCAGACCTGACCTGCCTTGCCTAGTTCAGACCTGACCTGCCTTGCCTAGCTCTGATCTGACCTGCCTTGCCTAGCTCTGACCTGACCTGCCTTGCCTAGCTCTGACCCGACCTGCTTTGCCTAGTTCTGACCCGACCTGCCTTGCCTAGTTCAGACCTGACCTGCCCTGCCTAGTTCAGACCTGACCTGCCTTGCCTAGCTCTTACCTGTAGACATCGACGATGTCTTCCTCCTTCTCGTAGTAGACACTGCGCCCCCTCACCGCCCTCGCCACCGCGTCCACCACCCGCCGCACCTACGGTACATCATAATATATATAGTACATCATTTTATAAATTAATATTTATTTTATATATCCAATATATTTAAGAGATATAAAATATATCATTTTATATCTCCTAAATACCCAAACTTTAAGGACTGGGGACAAGAATGTTCCCGACGTGTCCAGACATTATGAGCTGGGGACAAGAATGTTCCCGACGTGCCCAGACATTATAAGCTAGGGACAAGAATGTTCCCGACATGTCCAGACATTATAAGCTGGGGACAAGAATGTTCCCGACTTGTCCAGACATTATAAGCTGGGGACAAGAATGTTTCCGACGTGCCCAGACATTATAAGCTGGGGACAAGAATGTTCCCGACATGCCCAGACATTATAAGCTGGGGACAAGAATGTTCCTGACATATTCCAGCTTTAGCGACTAGGAACACTATAGTGTCATCGCATCATTTTGCATTCGGCGAAATGATTTAGCACAGCGCATGTGTGTATTGCTCACATGTACAGCGTGACATTGTACAGATGTACAGCACTAACCTGTGTAGTGTTTGGTGTGCTGTGCAGCGTTACATTGCACAGATGTACAGCAGAGCCCCAGACGTTCCCGTAGTCATGGGGGTTGAGCTGTGCGGGGTAGGAGGGAGCAGGGATAGCGAGCCGTAGCAGAGCGAGGATGAGCAGAAAGTACAGTGGCAAGGCAAATTCCTGCTCATAAAATAAAAATACACGTTCGTGCGGTGCAAAAAGCACTACTCGAACTGCCAGGAAGTTCAGCCATCAGAGCCCGAAATTACGAGTATGGCGAATTCATGATTGCATTTTACGTAGAAAATAAAAACTCGATATCAATATTGTGTGTATATTATATAGTATATATTATATATCATATACGGCAAACTTCTCAGCTGCTCACCGAGATGGTCTTGCGTCGCTCCCTTATTTTGATCAAGAAATTACGACGCAACAGCGCCATGTATTGCTGCCATAGCGTTCCTTCCATTGCTGCTGCTGCTGCTGATATATATAGGTCCATAATATAGATTAAAATATTGTAAATTAATTAAATACTGAAAGTCATTTTTATTATTTTATTGACAACACACTTGTAAAAGTTCTGAACAAGTTGTCACTCAGTAATCTTCAGGATTGGTCAGTTCATACGCTAAGAATATCTTTAGTAGCATTCCGCTGTCCATATGCAGCGGAATGCTTAATGAACTTTTCATGCACATAAAACAATAAATACAAAGATTTATTCCTTCAGCACCGGCATCGCAAATCATACACGAAAACCCAATTGAAAAATTAGGCGTAGTTATGGATGAAGCAACTATCATTTCCTTTCCTAATGGAAGAGCAACCATCATTTTCATCGAGATCGAGTTAACGGGCTGCCATCACAAAGAGTTAACGGGCTGCCATCACAAAGAGTTAACGGGCTGCCATCACAAAGAGTTAACGGGCTGCCATCACAAAGAGTTAACCGATTGCCATCACAAAGAGTTAACCGATTGCCATCACAAAGAGTTAAGAACAAATATACAAACTTCACTGTGTGAAATTTCTACCGCATGTTTCACAGTTAATGAGCTCTCGTTCACACGCACGTACAGTTCATCACGTTAACTAATTAGTGCTCATTGTTACGCACGCCATATGCATGCAGTACACGCTATACCCACGTAACACACGTTATACGCACGCAATACACGTTATGTGCACGCAATACACGGTATACGCACGCAACACACGTTATACGCACGCAACACACGTTATACGCACGCAACACACGTTATACGCACGTAACACACGTTATAAGCACGCAACGCACGTTATACGCACGTAACACACGTTATACGCACGCCACACACGTTATAGGTTATACGCACGCAACACACGCTATACGCACGCTACACACGTTACATGTACGCACGCAACACACGTTATACGCACGCCACACACGTTATACGCACGCAACACACGTTACATGTACGCACGCAACACACGTTATACGCACGCCACACACGTTATACGCACGCAACGCACGTTATACGCAGGCAACACACGTTATACGCAGGCAACCCACGTTATACGCACGAAACACACGTTATACCACACACGTTATACGCACGCAACGCACGTTATACGCACGCAACACACGTTATACGCACGCAACACACGTTATGTGCACGCCACACACGTTATGCGCACGCAACACACGTTACATGTACGCACGCAACACACGTTATACGCACGCCACACACGTTATACGCACGCAACACACGTTATACGCAGGCAACACACGTTATACGCAGGCAACCCACGTTATACGCACGAAACACACGTTATACGCACGCAACACACGTTATAAGCACGCAACACACGTTATGCGCACGTAACACACATTATACGCACCGTGGCCGTAGGGCTGTTCGAGTTCGATGTCCTGAACCTTATTATTTACCCTCGTTTTATTATCCATTTGAGGGGACATGGACGGCCGAGAACCGAGTATAATTTTCTACAGGGTGCGCGAGGGACGGTCTATAGAGATTGCCGATTTCTGCACAAAACATGTACAATCTTGCATGAAAATCGTATAAATTGCATCAGGTAACATTTTCTACGTGTATCAGGTATAATTAGAAACGCGTATCAGCTGGGAATAAGAGAGAACAGAAGGAATTTGTAAAGAAAAGATTTTACAAAATGCTAGGTGAACAGTAGTAGAAAAAGAAGAAGGGATATGTGCATGTACATATGCATATGTATAAGGGACAGACCTTAAACTTTGCCATACAACTTCCCAGACTATATACATAACATTTGCAACTTAACCCCACCACTGCTCTGCCTACACATTTTAACCCTCTACCGCCTGACATGAGTAACCGGAGCAATATTGTCACAAGCCTACTTCTCAAAAAGGATACGTTCTAGTGAGCGCAAAATGACTTGCACTGATGGTTGCCGCCACGTACGACAACTTTAAAATGTTCTGTTGCGTATAAACGTCCTCAGGTTGCTACACTCAATAGTTTACGTATAATTTGCCGCCACGTACGACAACTTTAAAACCTTCTCTGTTGCGTACAAACGTCCTCAGGTTGCTACACTCAATAGTTTACGTATAATTTAAGTTGAAAGTTATGATCCCGAAAAGTGACATACAGCGGTAGAGGGTTAACCCCACAACTGCCCTGCCTACACAACAACTTAACCCCACACCAGCCCTGCCTACACAACAACTTAACCCCACACCAGCCCTGCCTACACAACAACTTAACCCCACACCAGCCCTGCCTACACAACAACTTAACCCCACACCAGCCCTGCCTACACAACAACTTAACCCCACACCAGCCCTGCCTACACAACAACTTAACCCCACAACAGAAACATGCTGCCACAGGCGAGGCAACTGCTCTGTTGCAATGAAGTCTCACGTTTATCCAAAAAATTGTTAATTCTATTATTTACATACGTTTATTTATTTTTACACTCTCTTTCTACCTCTTATTTGTGTCTTTCTGTTTATTTATTAATTTTTAATTTATATATTTGTTATTTATATTAAAGTCCACTCCGAGGTTCGATCTAGCTTTACGCGTTATACGGTCGGTATATATAACACTATTTTACGGTCGGTATATATACTCTGGTCTGTCTTATCAGGTTGTATTACGATAAGATGGCAGCGTAATAAATTCCATGGTATTCGGGCGGAAATTATTACCTCATCGCTCTTTTTTATTTGACGAATTGAAAGACAGATAAGATGTCTATTTATTAAAGGAAAAAACGATGTAGGAGTGTATGGAAAATGCGTAATAGATCGTATTCGGTGTGATTATTATTATTATAATTATACGAAGTATTATTGTAAATAGTATTATTGCGCAAAGAACAACTATTGTACAAGAATGATTTCCTCCTACGATCCACTATTGATAAAATTAATAATCAATCATTTGATATAAATATAGTTATTGCTACTCTCATCAATAAGCTTAAATCGAAACTCAGTAGTTTGTTTCTGCCACAATTAAATCAAGTTTCTCTCATCAATTAAAATAATTCGAAGCAACTAAACAAGCATGTTATTTTTCTAGTTATATAAAATAATCATAACACTCACTAAGCCCACCGGGGAGGGGGGGAGAAACTCGCCCCACCGCTAAAGGCCCTTTTAGGATAATTTGGTATAAACAAATAAATAAAAATAAAATATCAATAAAAATAAAATAAAATAAATAAAATAAACAACCCCACAAAGTATATATATATTTCCTTCTGGGTGATTCATGAACTTTTGGGCTCCTGTGGGTTTGGGAGTTTCAATCGTTTTACTTTTTTCAGATATACAGTATTTTTTATAAAGTATCCCGCTTCAGAAATATAGCATCTTTGTGGAAAGTATCCCGCTTATCGGAAATAAATTAGATAACATCAAAAATATTAGCGCAATAAGAGGGAAAAAGAGGGGGAGGTACACACTCACTGAGCGATCTGTGTAAATATTACTTACGAGGCACCGCGTTACTGGACACTGTCACTGAGTGTTACTTGTGTTGTGTTGAATACTACTTACGAGGCACCGCGTTACTTGACACTGTCACTGCTGTCTCTTATACACATCTAGATGTGTATAAGAGACAGGTTNGTGACCTGCATCACTAATGGTCGGTACGAGATACCGTGACCTGCATCACTAATGGTCGGTACGAGATACCGTGACCTGCATCACTAATGGTCGGTACGAGATACCGTGACCTGCATCACTAATGGTCGGTACGAGATACCGTGACCTGCATCACTAATGGTCGGTACGAGATACCGTGACCTGCATCACTAATGGTCGGTACGAGATACCGTGACCTGCATCACTAATGGTCGGTACGAGATACCGTGACCTGCATCACTAATGGTCGGTACGAGATACCGTGACCTGCATCACTAATGGTCGGTACGAGATACCGTGACCTGCATCACTAATGGTCGGTACGAGATACCGTGACCTGCATCACTAATGGTCGGTACGAGATACCGTGACCTGCATCACTAATGGTCGGTACGAGATACCGTGACCTGCATCACTAATGGTCGGTACGAGATACCGTGACCTGCATCACTAATGGTCGGTACGAGATACCGTGACCTGCATCACTAATGGTCGGTACGAGATACCGTGACCTGCATCACTAATGGTCGGTACGAGATACCGTGACCTGCATCACTAATGGTCGGTACGAGATACCGTGACCTGCATCACTAATGGTCGGTACGAGATACCGTGACCTGCATCACTAATGGTCGGTACGAGATACCGTGACCTGCATCACTAATGGTCGGTACGAGATACCGTGACCTGCATCACTAATGGTCGGTACGAGATACCGTGACCTGCATCACTAATGGTCGGTACGAGATACCGTGACCTGCATCACTAATGGTCGGTACGAGATACCGTGACCTGCATCACTAATGGTCGGTACGAGATACCGTGACCTGCATCACTAATGGTCGGTACGAGATACCGTGACCTGCATCACTAATGGTCGGTACGAGATACCGTGACCTGCATCACTAATGGTCGGTACGAGATACCGTGACCTGCATCACTAATGGTCGGTACGAGATACCGTGACCTGCATCACTAATGGTCGGTACGAGATACCGTGACCTGCATCACTAATGGTCGGTACGAGATACCGTGACCTGCATCACTAATGGTCGGTACGAGATACCGTGACCTGCATCACTAATGGTCGGTACGAGATACCGTGACCTGCATCACTAATGGTCGGTACGAGATACCGTGACCTGCATCACTAATGGTCGGTACGAGATACCGTGACCTGCATCACTAATGGTCGGTACGAGATACCGTGACCTGCATCACTAATGGTCGGTACGAGATACCGTGACCTGCATCACTAATGGTCGGTATCACAGATACGGTGACCCGCAGCACGCGTGCCCTGGTATCACAGATACGATCCAGTTATCTTTTATCCCGACGATTATTTAATAATTTTTAATAATTAATTGGCAATAAATTTAAAACTTAAAATAATCGGACTTGGGACCGGGGGGTGTCCGGGCCCCTGGAGGGGAAGTCACCAATTAATGGGCCCACATTCAATTAAATGGCCCATTCAATTAATGGACCCATCATAAATTATTGACAACATTAATTAAATTCTTGAGTAATTTGAAGGAATGATTACGGGTATGATATTACCATACACTCAGAAAAATGGACCGACTTTGTCCGTCTAAAATGGCGTTAAACTTCTTGCCGTTATGTGGGTCATCCTGATACGTTTTGCCCAGTAAAGGGCGTATCAGTGCTACATGCAGAAAGAGGGTCACTATTTGGACAAATTGATCCATTTATGTTTCCGAGTGTATGATGACATGAGGTATAATATGGCCTCCCCCTCCCCCTGCGGCGCCAATCACACGTGATTGGCAATAGCAATCAAGAGGCTCGTGACTGGCAATAACAATCAAGTGGCTCGTGATTGGCAATAACAATCAAGTGGCTGGTGATTGGCAATAACAATCAAGTGGCTCGTGATTGGCAATAACAATCAAGAGGCTCGTGATTGGCAATAACAATCAAGAGGCTCGTGATTGACAATAACAATCAAGAGGCTCGTGATTGGCAATAACAATCAAGTGGCTCGTGATTGGCAATAACAATTAAGTGGCTTGTGATTGGCAATAACAATCAAGTAGCTCGTGATTGGCAATAACAATCAAGTGGCTGGTGATTGGCAATAACAATCAAGTGGCTGGTGATTGGCAATAACAATCAAGTGGCTGGTGATTGGCAATAACAATCAAGAGGCTGGTGATTGGCAATAACAATCAAGTGGCTCGTGATTGGCAATAACAATCAAGTGGCTCGTGATTGGCAATAACAATCAAGTGGCTGGTGATTGGCCACGACCAATCAGTGATATTATAATAGGAAACAAAATAAAACACTGATAACGACAGCTTCACTGTACATTGTGTACACAATACAGCCATAAGGCACACAAATAACACAAATTCAGCATCATACACACACACAAAGTTTGAACTTCAACACAAAGCATATAAAAGGTAAAATAAACATAGGATAACTGAAAGTTTTATTCATATTAAAAAGTTTGTTTCCTTTGAGTATCTGAAGCTTAAAAAAGCTGTGCTTGGCAAAATAATGCAAATAAAAACTTTTAAACTAAAATGAAGTCAAATAATAACTTGGATATTGACGTCATGTTAATATTGAAGTTCAAAATAAAGAGTGGTCAAGGGATTAAATGCCAATAAAATATTCGAAATAAAAAAAAAATTTTGACGTAAAGAGTGGTCAGGGGACTAAATGTTAATGAAATATCCAAAATTAAAATTTTTGTGACGGTCACTTGATTGTGATGTAATCAACTAATCAGCACTCAGAAAAATTGTGTCATATTGTCCTAATAGTGACGCACTTTCTTACCCACGAACAAAGAGCTGACTTGGCACTGATACGACCCGTTGCCGGGATAAAGTGAGTCAGGATGACCCACGCCAGGGCAAGAAGTGCATCGCTATTGGGACAAAAAGTCTGACTTTTTTCTCCGAGTGTACCAGACAAGGGAGACATCCTCTAGCCACATGATGCGGCGATCTTTGATATTTATTAAAGTATGATGAATATCCATGAATATATTCATATGCAATACAAAACAAAGCGTTCCCTGATAAAGAATAGAAGCAAATTCATATAACGCTGCAGAGCACGGCTGTACTGATCACACAGCAAGCAACTCACAGCATTTATCTTAGTACAATACTAGCATATTACTTTATGTACACATAATTAAAAATTGTATTAATACAAACATAAAACAATCAAGGCAAAAGCGTCCATTATAAATCCACTTAATTTAGTTTTGTGCCCACCGAAGATAATATTTTTTTCGAAATACTCATGCCCCCATTTTATTGGATCTGATTGCTTATATCAGGACAAGAAGCAAACTGTATATAACACTTATAATACAACTAATATCTAATGCTCTAGTGATATAATAAAAAGATCATTTAGAGAAGGTTTGTACCTTCCGCAAATTATTTCAATACAAGACCTGTTACAAGGAAAGACTTCAAGATAAGGGAAAGGAAAGCCAATAAGATATTGGACGCCAATAAGATATTGGATGCCAATAAGATATTGGACGCCAATAAGATATTGGATGCCAATAAGATATTGGATGCCAATAAGATATTGGATGCCAATAAGATATTGGATGCCAATAAGATATTGGATGTCAGATGCTCAGCATAAGTGGATTATAAACTGAAGGTGGTTCGAGAACCCGTTAGGGCATTAGGGAACTAAGTGAGAGCCCATAAGGGAACCAGATGAGAACCCATTAGGGCATTAGGGAACTAAGTGAGAACCCATTAGGGCATTAGGGAACTAAGTGAGAACCCATAAGGGAACCAGATGAGAACCCATTAGGGCATTAGGGAACTAAGTGAGAACCCATTAGGGCACTAAGGAACTAAGTGAGAACCCATAAGGGAACCAGATGAGAACCCATTAGGGCATTAGGGAACTAAGTGAGAACCCATTAGGGAACTAAGAGAGAACCCAATAGGGAACCAAATGAGAACCCATTAGGGCATTAGGGAACTAAGTGAGAACCCATTAGGGAACCAAATGAGACATTGGCTCTAGAGCCCAACCACACACAGCCTAATTGGATGATTAATTTGCTCTAAGACCCAGTGAGGCATTGGCTCTAGAAGCCATGTAATGCAGCATTACTGAGTAATACTCAAATTTTAGTTGCTGGTCAAGCAAGTTGTTGCTTTATATTTACTAAACTCTAAGCAAGCAGATTCATTATGTTCAATGCAGAAGAAAGCAAAACTTAAGCAAGCAAACATCGAGTCAATATGACGGATATAATATCAAGAACTTAATAAGTTCTAGCATATTTTCCTTTGGCCGCCGGAAGTGAAACAATGGCGTTAATAAGATGTAGTGGCGTTAATGAGATATAGTGACATTATTGAGATGTAATGGCTTCAATGAGATGTAATGGCGTTAATGAGATGTAATGTCACTAATGAGATGTAATGGCATTAATGAGATGTAGATGAACATGTCCATTCATTCCCGTAAAAACTTATGAAGCGTCAAGCTGTCAACATGCAAAAGATGCACCATAATAATTCACAAATGAATATCTGAGTTAAATTTACAATAACTTTTGTGTTGCTTGCATCTTTGAGATTTAGTTTGAGGCGAGGCGAGTAGAGCTGGCGGTCAATGGCCGGTAAATAGGATATCGTAAAACATTCCTGATACAAAAGCGATATTTTTAAGCGATTGTAGATAAGAAAACAATATCGCGATATTTTTCTATATAGGAAAACGATATCGTGATAGATTCTAAACACAAAATTATATCGTGATAGATTCTTGCTGGGAATACGATATCGTGATAGATTCTTTACACAAAAATGATACCGTGATAGATTTTAATACTATTCGGGGACAAAAGCATCGAAACGGCCACTGACAGCGCCTGCATCAACTGAATATTAATCGATTAATGTTAATGTAAAAATATAACGACGTGATGGAACTCCATCATAAAAATGAAAGCAAAAACTTATGTATAATTAGACACAAGTTGTTCAATATAAAGCGCGTCAAGCTCACACTTCGCGTCATTAAAATAAAATTACACACCTCGCGTAACATCAACATAAAATTAAATTGAAGTTCGTACAGAACATGACTTCTGCAAATACATGCTAAAATAGCGTAGATTACTTTTTTTACAATGAAGCCACCAAGATAACGAGCATGATAACAAAAACAGCCAAGAAATATCCTAATGAAATGAACCACGCAGCAAATAACTGTCCATTTAAAAAGTGCAACATTTACAGTGCCACCGTATTGTCAGTTATAATAAAAAAGTGGTATAAATAAGTCTGTTTCTAGAAGGCTGCTTTAGGAGGCTAGCTCTAGGACTCTGTTTCTAGAGGCTGGTTTTAAAAAGGTTAGCTCTAGTAGTTTGTTTCTAGGAGGCTGGTTTTAAAAGGTAAGCTCTACAAAGCTCGCTCTAGAAGGCTATTTAGTTTATCTATGTATTATCCGACAATTGTGATAAGGCGTTATATGCTAGGAGATGCTGAGGATGACTAGGACGCTGGCAGCTTCTCTATGGAGGTGTGGAAGACGAAGTCCTTAGGGAAGAGATCCTTGGCGCGAGGGATCATGAGCTTGTAGGCCTGCCTGATGGTGATCTCTGCGACGCCCAACACCTCCCCGATCTCTGCAGGCGTCTTGGGGCGCGCCGACGCCTGCGAGGTGATGGCGGTTAGAAGGTGGGTCATGATATGGTCATTTGTAGGTCATTGAGAGCATTTGTAGGTCATGGGGGGTATCTGTAGGTCATGAGGGGCATTTGTGGGTCATGGGGGGCATCTGTAGGTCATGGGGGGCATTTGTGGGACATATTATGGCATCTACACCCTACTGGTCATGAGGAAATTTGTGGAATAAGCAGCTCATTTCCAGGTCAAAAGGGAACACTGTCGGGCCATTGCGTACACCTTAAGTCTCGTAACTGACCTGCGTGGCCATGTAGATGGCCGCGGCCGCCACGGACACGGGGGAGCGGCCACACACGATGTCCAGCGCACCTGCAGTGTCCGCGATGTGGGTTGCCGCCTTCTGCACCTGCACGGGAGGGGAGGAAAGAGTGGAGTTAGCACCACTGCAACTTATATTAGTGCAGTTCCTCTAACATTAGGGAAGTTACACCAATATTACCGCCAAAATTAAGGTATTTACGCCAAAATTAATGTAATTACCTCTATATTAATGCAGCTAATCACAAAACAGGGTTCGTACCGGCATTTAGAAAAAAAATTTTCATGACTCTTCCACGACTCTCCATGACCATCAACATAATTTTCCAAGACTCGTATACGACAGGTTTAGCATGACTGAAATCCTAACCGTGCATATTCTATCATCTCCTACAGTTGATAAATAGCAAACACATAAAGCATAGCTCTTCAAAGGTGGCATGGCTCTTCAAAGCTGCTTCCCCCATATTTGACACATCGAAATTTTTCCAGCACAATGTACAAATCGCCATACCTTCATGCTTTGATGGCGAGCAAGCCAGTCACGATAAGATTCTATTCTTAACCACAAGTAATGAAATTCACACTTTCCAGATATTAGGGTGCAGAAATTGCATGCTGAAGATGGAACGCTGCCACTGCAGATCAAAAAGTTGTCCAATGCAAACGAGCTCGGTGACCGAGCTCACGTGATTGGAGAACCAATCAGGACGCATGAAACAAGAGACTGCACAAACAGTAAACACACGCAGCACCCAACACTTCCTTTTTTTCTTCTTTTATTTGCAAATTTCATGACTTTCCAGGTTTTCCATGACCGATACGAACCCTGACAAAATTATTGCGGGTTACGCAACATTACTGTAGCTTCCTCAAAATTTTGGCTATTAGCAAAACACTGAGGCAGTTACCCCAACATTGCAGCAGTTACCTAAACATTGCATGCAGCATTTACCCCAACATTACAGCAGTTACCCCAACATTACGGCAGTTACCTCAACACTACAGCAGTTACCCCAACATTAAGGTAATAACGGTGCTCCTAATAACCTTATTATCAAGCCCCAGGTTGGAGCAGTTACCCTAACATTAAGGTAATAACGGTGCGCCTAATAACCTTATATCGTACAGCAGTTACCCCAACATTAAGGTAATAACCGTGCTCCTAATAACCTTATTATCAAGCCCCAGGTTGGAGCAGTTACCCCAACATTAAGGTAATAACGGTGCTCCTAATAACCTTATTATCAAGCCCCAGGTTGGAGCAGTTACCCCAACATTAAGGTAATAACTGTGCGCCTAATAACCTTATTATCGTACAGCAGTTACCCCAACATTAAGGTAATAACTGTGCTCCTAATAACCTTATTATCAAGCCCCAGGTTGGAGCAGAAGCGGAACATGAAGTCGTTGGTTGTGATGAGGTCCACGGACGTCTCCAGAGCCTTCAGGATGAGCTTGAAGCAGCGTCCTATTTCCTTCTTGTTTATAGAGCTCACGGCCACGATCTCCTGCCCATAAAATGTTCTTTTTATTAATTATTGTATACTTAATTTATCAATTATTGTATACTTAATTTATTAATCATTGTATATTTAATTTATTAATTATTGTATTTTTAATTTATTAAATAATGGATGTATACATAAGTTATTTAAATTAAATAACTAAGTCATATACCCTTGTTACTTGATAATCATTAGTGGCTTAAATATAGTAAACTAATAATATTAGAAGCATTATGCATTATAATTTATTAAAACAAATATAATAAAAAGCGTTTTAACCAATCTTCAACATAAATTCTTATTTTACTTCTTTTTCAAAAGTTTGAAGAGAATCTTAATATTCACTTTCTTGAACAAAAATTAAGTTCACAAAATGAAACATAAATTTAACCATTAACTGTTCATATTTTGTTATACTAAACAAACAATGTGGTTTGATGGTTAACTATTAAAACACCAAATACTCACAAACAACAAAACTTCTCAAAGATGAAATAAATAAATATTTTTACACCAGGAACGCATCAGCAATACGAGGCACTCTCAGAAAAATGAATGGCTCATATTGTCCAAACAATGACACATCCACATGAAGAACAATACATCTTTTTTGCCGGGCCTAACTGGGTCAGGATAACCCACACAAGGACAAAAACTGCGTCGTTAATTGGACAATGAAGGGCTCATTTCCCTGAGTATAAGAGCAGGAGTGCGCAACAAAAACTGCGTTGTTAACTGGACAAAGAAGGGCTCATTTCCCTGAGTATAAGTGCAGGAGTGCGCAACAAAAACTGCGTCGTTAACTGGACAATGAAGGGCTCATTTCCCTGAGTATAGGAGCAGGAGTGCGCAACAAAAGCTGCATCGTTAACTGGACAAAGAAGGGCTCATTTCCCTGAGTATAAGAGCAGGAGTGCGCAACAAAAACTGCATCGTTAACTGGACAAAGAAGGGCTCATTTCCCCGAGTATAAGAGCAGGAGCTGTCTCTTATACACATCTAGATGTGTATNACAATGAAGGGCTCATTTCCCTGAGTATAAGAGCAGGAGTGCGCAACAAAAGCTGCATCGTTAACTGGACAATGAAGGGCTCATTTCCCTGAGTATAAGTGCAGGAGTGCCCACCTTGAATGTCCGGGGCACGCCGTCCTGCCTGCAGGCGATGTACAGGCACGCCGAGGCGATGGCGTCGTTGCTGCGACCTCGCAGGGCGCGTGTCGTGTGTACCTGCATCACGTATATATAATTGCACTAATATATATATAAAACTATGCATGGGTTATTATATATAAATAGACCAATATATATAAAAGTATGCATGGGTTATAAACAACAATAAATAGGCCAATATATGTATATAGAACTATGCATGGGTTATAAACAACAATAAATAGGCTAATATACGTATATATAAAACTATGCATGGGTTATAAAGAACAATAAATAGACCAATATACATAAAACTATGCATGGGCTATAAACAACAATTAATAGACTAATATGTGTAAAACTATAAATGCGTTATATACAACAATAAATAAATTAATATATATATATAACTATGCATGGGTTGTAAACAACAATTAATAGACTAATATGTACAAAACTATGCATGTGTTATATGCAACAATAAAAAGACTACTAATATATATAAAACTATGCATGGATTATATACAACATTAAATATACTAATACATAGTTGAAATGCATATTAAAATACACAAAAACAAAATCTTTAGGTGCCCATGTTGTTAAGACTAGTTGCTGGGAGTTTGAAACCCTTGACTAGTTGTGAAAATAGAGGTGGAATCAGCTGAGGGATCACTGGGGGGATAAAGATTGGCAAGAGGCCACTTTGGCATTATGACTTACTTAAAGCAGATGCAGCTAAATAATGATAATCTACTGCTATCATTCATTTGATACCAATTCTTCAGCAATAAACTACCGACGAAACAGTTAGTCATTAGTTTACTACACCTTTAATATGCTACGCCTACATCTTTAAAACCATTTCCACATTTTTAACGCCACGCCTACATCTTTAACGCAATTTCCAACATTTTTAATGTTGAACCTACATCTTCAAAGCCACGCTTACATCTTTAACGCCATGTCCAACATATTTAATGCAGAACGTACATCTTTAAAGAGAGCGTTGGCGCGGTCCAGCAAGCTGCGTGGCAGATTGATCTTCTCCCCCATGTTGGCAATCTCCTTGAAGGCGTTCAGCAGCGATCTGTCACTACTGCTCATCTGTACATGGGTAATATTATTCTGAATATAGATAAAATTTAGCATCTGAATACAGATAATATTCATCATCTAAACACTTCTCATATCAAATGTAGGTATATCTTTTCTAACATAACATCTAAATTATATGGTCCCAAAATTTCCTTTCGTGGCATGAGATGTAACCAACCGTTCGTCTGTTCCTATAGGCTGTGGCTCCATCCGCAGGGAGACCGGCTCCTGCCATGCCATAGACCGGACCACTCGTGGAAGGACCAACAATAGTGCTGAGATCACAGCCGTCAAGGAGAGGGTTCTCAGGGCCACCAACACGTGAGGGGTCTGCCGAGTTCTTATCATTGCTGAATGAGCGCCATTCTGAGCCCACATCTATTACTCTGTCAAATGGTAGAGTAATATGAATATTATTAACAGAAATATTAATATATTCTTCACATTAGGAGCACTGGCAAAGCAATATTATTATTTTTAGCACATTTTCTCATTTATGAAAAAATGCACTATTCTGCTTGCCATGTCTGTCTGTCTGTCCGTGACTTCAAGTTTTTGTCGACGAGAAAATGCGCACTCTGTCACTCACTGCAGTGAGTACTGAGTTATTTTTTTTAATGTTAAGGGCATTGGTAGAGCCACCTGGGATTGAGTCAAGGAATGTTCCAGAAAGATTCATGATCATTACCATTGGTTTTGTAAAATTTGAGTGAAATAAAAACCTTGCTTAAAAATATTTTTGAAAGTTCATATCAATAAATAAAACAAAAGTTGATATGGTATTCTAAATTTGTGTTCCAACCCAATTTTATTGAAGAAAATTTTCCAGAAGTTCATACAAGATACCAGGAAAATATGGGTGATTATATAACTTTGATCACCTTATTACTGCTTATTGATAATACAAACGTCAAAAATTACACGATTCAGAGTTTTTCATGCTGGCATAACACAATAAAAATTGTAGTAACCCAATATTCACTTTACTCACCTATCACCAACAACAAGCCCACAGTCTGAACAGATCTGATCTCCAGCTCTGTGATCTTCGATGAGCATTGCATCAGGGTGGTCTGGACAGCAAATCATAGGGTTAGCTGAACCCCCACGGTATCTGTTGAAAGAGACATTGTGTAGGTTCTTCATATTGAAAAAAAAATTATAGCTTACTCCCTGCTAATAAATACAAAATATCACGCATAGTAATGTGACCGGACGTTCACTACCTTAGCTTCAACGGATGGCCGCCTAAGGTTGCACGCTGGCCACGAACTTATTAAAAAGCTAGTTACAAAGAATCGATAATGAAAACACAGCTTTCCAGTTCACCACTGAAGTTTCAAACGTTTATTCCATTAAGCACTTTAAAATGGGCACTCTACATTTCAGGTCACAGTAACGAGCAGCACAGACACATGGCAAATAATTAATCAGCTCAGTCAGGGAGAGGGCTCACTGCAAGACAAAAAGCTTCATGCCAGATCGGCAGTTACTAGCTACCACTAGGAAGGTCAGAGCTGCAACTTAACCGATCGGCTAGCAGGACACAACTGCTGTGTCATATAACAGGAATCGCCCTCGTCACCTCTCTCTGAGACCAATCTTCCCTGAAAGGGTCGGAAGTCTAAGCTACTTAACCGGCCTCGCTAAAAAACCCATACATGTAGAATAATATATTACCTAGCTCAAACAAAGTTGAAATTGGTAAAAAGGCCTAAAAAGACCGTGAACGATTCTCATTCGTTCACAGTAAGCCAACTGTTTCAATTCAGAAACATCTTATTCGATTCTTAGAAACAGATGAAGATCCACCAAAAAATTTCACTATGTTTTAATTGAACAGTACCTATTCAAATAACCTTGACTCAAGTTGCCAAGTTATCAATGGAAAGCAGATGCTAAAGTTATTTTAGTGTTTTAACATAATACACAAACATTTTGAAAATATTTCAATGCTAAAAATATTTAATGTTAGACACACTCAGATGTTGATGAGCAAATTTGAAATAGATTAATTCAACTAATACCTCATCACTCATGAGCTCATAATGATAATATGATGCACCTACAAAATCAAGACAGCTAATTTAGCAACCTCATGCATCAAATTAATGTTTGCACAAATACTAGGGTTTTCCTATAGTACCTCAATTTTCTTTAATTCCATCCTGGGTCTAGTTGTGGGATTTGGCTCAAGTAATAACTTAAAAGGTACCTACACATGGATATTAGTCCTTAAACTAGACTGCGTCCACTTGTCACTAATATATTATTCACTCAGGTCAGGTCAGAGTTTTGGTATATATGCAAGTCATCTAGACCTTAAATTTGTGAAATTTTATGTCCAAGCAAAATCAATCAATTGACACTGTATACATAGAATGAAACGGTTTAATGCATCAGTTGTAGACTGTTGAGTATTATTGTTTTTGTCTGTATTAATTGTAATGATTGGTACGTACCGTCAAACGGGGTAAAAAAGGATGGTTTTGAGAATTTTTTGTTATTAAATTCTTACCATGAAACCTTTCAGAAAAAAGTTTAGGCTCATTTTATAGCTCTTTGTGAGGGCTATCGAATGGCATCTTAAAAAAATTAAGGTGCCAGACGCAAAATAACCATCCTAAATTACCCCTGGGAATGGGGTAATCCGGGACACTTGCAATAAAAGTTTATTTTAAAACGTTTGAAGCATGCAGAGTTTACTCATTACGAACAGAGTGTACTAACAGTACGGTACTCTGAAGTCCTCCTCTTTCATTATAGATGATGTAGATGTAAAATAAATGACATTTTCTGTGATTTTTACTTGTTTTTCCTTTATTGACATATTACCATATTCATTAATTACCATATTATTGATGTGATATTACCGTTGAAGAGGAGCATATTGCTCTTCTTGCTTAATCATTAGGTTCTTACTTTTCATTCCTGGCACTTCGGTGTATTGCTTACTTTAGGTTATGCTTCCTAATATGGTTTGCTCTTTCCATTTAATTTAGGGCTTTTGTGACTGTTATTATTAATGAATGTTTCCTTCCCTTGTATTTGTTTTAGGTGTTGTTGTTCTCCATTAATAATTCACTAGTTAGAGCATGCAACTTTATGCAATGTCTGAAAAGTTCAATTACTTCTGACTTGTCATGTTTGAAGTGTAGCATGCACTATTAAGAGTCTCAGCTAAGTTTAGTAAGCACACCACTTATCACGCTTAGTGATCCTTGTCTGCACCTAATTGCTTGCCTCACCTGCACTCATTGCCTGAAGATCATTTAACCCTGGAAGTCATTGTCAACCCATTCCTGCTTGCTGAGCAATGTAGCTGCTCCCTAAGGGTGAGTTGATAAGACTTGATCAACTCAAGAATAATAATATACCTTTCCTTTTCAAGCTCATGCACTTAATTTTACTGCAATAAAACTTGCTTATTACTTTGTTACTTGTTTAATGTCACCTTGTTCCTGTTTTGAATTGCTTTATTAACTTACCTGATTGCTTTTACATTGAATTTGAATCATTACAACTATTAGATCTCAAATCAAGTGTTTGCCTTGCCATACTGTGCTTGTTTTTCTTGTCTTGCTATGTTGCTTGGTCATTTGTCCTGTGTTGTTGCTGATTTATGCGTTATTGCTTGTTTGAATCCAAACCAAAAATACTCCTGATTTGAGGTACCCATCCCCTTTAACTGCCCTTAAAGACCATAGACTCTAGTCCCGTTATTTTGTTAACTTGATAGGAGCAGTCGGTGTGGGACCCAGCTGGCACGCCATTGAGGAGACCTGGAACCCAGACTTGCCCAGTCCTGACCTTCCTGTCCTGAGTCTTCTCATCTTCCAAACTGCAGCTCCTTGAAGATCACCTTGCTGAAGCTCATTGTTTAAATGTCAACCTAGGCTTTGTTATCATTACTTAACTGAGCTAGCTGCATATTAGTCCTGTTCATGAGCAAGTCTTTAACTATTTCATTTGGATACACTTGTTTTAAACTCCTATTTGCCAAGTCAGTACAAATACCTGCCTGATGTTAACTCTTTTAAGTCCAATGGGGCTTAGACTTTCAGACCACCAGTGATTTAGTTAACCAGTTGTGCGACCAACAAGTGATGTGATTGTAGTGATTTAATTATTGGCAGATAATGTAAGTAGATGACTCATTTATATGTGTGCCCATTATTAGCAACCGTCACCTTCAATTCCGGTATTGCGGACTAGGATTGGACATTGATATTAGTGCTTGTTTTCCATATTTCACTAGTCAGTGATCATATTCAACCAAGGCTCTGTTTAATATGCTTGTTTAGCCAGAGACTTTCTTGCAGTTAGTTAACAAACCTTATTGATAGATAAGTCTTGTGATAAAGTTGAATAAGAGCCTTAATCATTATTCTTATTTAGCCAATGTAACCCTTGTTTCTTGTCCTATTGCTAATGTATAGGTTTCTTTAACTCACTTGGAGACATAGTGAGTGTCCTGACAGTCCTTGCCTCTCTAGAGTTTCCTGGTTCCTGCTACCCAGTACAGTATCACCTGTGGTCAGTAACCTTCTGTGGAACCTTTCTACCAGACCGGTGAGTACCTGGGGTGTTGTTGTGAGGGGAGGTGCTTGGGTGTGCCTGTGGTGTCTATGAGAGTGATGCAACTACACTGCCTTAGTGCTATACATCAGGATGATCCATGGACCAGGTAAAGAGTGCTCTTACTGTTCTAGTCTACTGTTGAGAAATCACCGCCATTTCTTATTGTGCTCTCCTTTCCAGGACCTTTATTTGTCTCCATGCCAACCAAGGCTTCTAGGCTATTGCTTATCTCACTGTAATTTTGATTCCCTCATGTCACAGGTTAGGATGTTCTGTTTAAAATTATTGTTTACTGCAAAGTTGGACCATATTGTAAAATTTGGTTCTTGGACAGAATACTGCAGTCACCTCTGAGGGATTTTCCTCTGGAGGGTGGTTGCCTAGCTTATCCTGTGAAGGATATTTGGTGCCCTCGGTATTATCCTGTACCAATTGCTCTTGACTTTGTTATTAGCTTAAGTATAGTGTTGTTTAGGAATGACCTGCGTTTCATTGTCCCAAATTTGATCTCAGGGTTGGAGGTAGGCTTAGTTAGGTATTGTATCTTAGGGTGATTGAGCTAATCTTCACATAGCTTTTGTGAACCCCTGTTGAACGGACCGCAACACCGTATCCATGAACATGCCATTGAGCATTTACAACAACCTTGTCCACTGCAAGCTTCATACCAGCAGCCATGTAGCATTTCTTCTGTATCTGTAAGCTTACAGGATGGCTTGTAATTTCACACCATTTTAATTGCGTTATGTGAATTCACTATAAAAGAAAGAAAAAAAAAATCATACCTGAAACAGAGAAGAATGTTTTAGTGACAACCATCATATGTTTTGGATAAATAAATCATAGTTTAGGTCAATTACTTTCCATTCCATGATGCCTGGTGCACAATTCTATATATAGCATTCTATGTACAATTTTGTGACGGCTGATGATGCACTAATTTTTCAATAAGTGAATTTTTTTGCTGACCAAGGTAAATGTAATCAAAATTCTTTGTTTGTTAACCAATTTTTTTTTTTTGTTAACTGGAGCCTATGTTAACTGGGGGCCTCTAACTGAGGTTCTACTGTAAATGCATTTTTAAGGGTGTCCCTAATTACCCCAGGCCCCGGGGGGTCCCTTTTTACCCCATTGTGCAGAAATGGCTGCCATTTTCTTTGGAATGAGACAGGCAAATTCTGTCAATTACGTTTTTAACCTGACACCTGGGTGCAACTTTCATGTAAGTAAAATTTTTTAATATGGTGAATTTTTTTTTTTTTTTTGCTCCAGACCATATTATTTGGAGTTATTTTACCAAAAAATAAAATTGATTTTATCACCCGGTCAAAGAAACCCCAAGAGCTGGGGTAACAAAGACCATCACTTTTTTTGAAATTATATCAAAACTATGAGAGGCAGGAGCCAGCAATTTATGGTGAGTAAAGCTAGAGTATAGACCTGTACTTTGCATGTTTCAATTTAGGTTTAACTTATCTAGTAAAAAAATGGCATCATTTTGAAAAAAAAAAAAAGTGGTCAAAGTTACCCCAT